TTTAAGAGTTTTAAGAGTTTTTAAGAGTTTTAGCCAAATGCTTTATAATATAGTATAGATTGTAATTTTTAGATTAATTATTTATAAATCTGTTTACAATTTCGGGTAGGGGATTGATATTCATACCCATTTTAGAGCATCTGAAATAGTTATATTTTTAGAAATTTTTTTAAATTTAGAGATTTTTAGAATCTGTCTCATCTATTCTCTATTCATAGGTGATAACATAACAGTTGGAGTAACAAAAATGTTAAAATATCTACTTTTTTCTATTTTAACATAATTTTTTTAATTAAAACTGAGTTAATTCATACATTAAGGGCCTGTTTGTTTTTTAAAATTTGCCTCTTAATTTTCTCTTTATGTCTGAATCGGTCAGACATACAGACTTTCAGATCGTTTGTTTTTTCCCCCAAATTAAGAGCTGAATTCATAAGGTTTCCTTTGAATTTTAAGTGGTAACCCTAGCTCTTAATACCTCTTATTTGTTTATCCGCCTCCTTACGTCGCTCTCATCCGCCTCCTTTACGTCGCTCTCATTCGCTCTCATCCCATTCATCGATTGAAGCTAGTGTTATGGTAATCTTCTCGATCTCTCTTTGGTTTCTTCTCGATCTGCTTCTTTATACATCTCGATCTCTCTCGTCCCATTCATCGATTGAAGCTGGTGTTCTTCATACATCCGCTCTCACCCTCTGTTTTTGTCTCGCCCCTTAGCTCGATTCAAGCTTCGCTTGGTGTTCTTCGATCTTCTGGAACTCTCAAATAAAGGTAATCTTCGATTGATCCAGATTTCAGACGTAAAAACAAACAGTCTGACTGATTCAGATTTCAGGTTTTAGCACCACCTCTTAAAATTCAGAAGTGAATTCAGACTTCAGACTTCAGTACCTCTTAAAAAACAAACGCCACCTAAAAATGTAAAAAAGTTTTAATATTAATGTATATAGGGGGTGTTTGAGGTTGCTTATTTGAAAAACAACTTATGTTTTTCTACAAAAATCCTTATCAACTTATTATAAGAATGATTTAATTTCTCTCAAAACACTTTATTACACGTTTGGTATCGATATAAGTTATTCATCCAAACACTTAAAAAATGTCTTATCAAAATAAATTAATAAATTGTTTTTATAAACAATCGCAAGTATCCAAAATATTAGATAGAGATATATTTAACATGATGTGAAAGTCGCGGTTAGTCTCCTGTGTCGTGTTCAAGAGGAGATCTTAGGATCCAGAAAAGAGACGGTCGCTTTCTTAATTTAGGTGAAGATATCTCGTCCTCCACCAACCCACTCACTCACTCACCATCTTCCCCAACATCACCAGAAACAACCAATTGGCCAGATCCAATCCATCTATCCAATACCCATAAACCACAAGGAAGTTACATGACCATGGCAATCGCACTTCGACGGTTGTGTTCGTCACACAACAACCATCATTATCTTCATCGACTATCCAATGGATCTTCCCTTTTTTACATGGTTTGTTTTCATCTATTCTTTGTAATTCATGGGTTTCTTATTCTATTTCTTCAATCTAATAATTTCATGTGTTTTCTCTAGTCCTCTTTGCCGAATCCAGCAGCTAATGACATCGATGTTTCACGTGTCAATGTTAGTAACCATCATTTACTTCAATTTTTGCGTAGTGTCGTTAGTTTTTGATTCTATAATCTAGGGATTGATATTCTTTTGTGTGATTTGATGAATCCGCAATTCACAGTGGACGAAGCAATTGAATGCTCCACTTGAAGAAATTGATCCTGAAATTGCTGACATTATTGAGCTCGAAAAAGCTAGGCAATGGAAGGTAGCTTTAAACCTCCGTTCTCCAAAATTTTCTGTTTATTTGATTTACAGTTGACACTTTTTTCTTTTTAGTTCTCCTCCATTTCACTTTGAACATCTTTATTTTCAGAAGTTAAATAGTTGATATGAATTGTAGGAGCAAAAGTAATCTGTCTCACATGCGAAGTCAATAGTTTTGACAATTTATAGAGATAGGAGCCTTAGGGTGTATTTCAGCTGGGAAAGCGGCGGCAACTTTCCCCAAATCCAAGATAGGTCCTGGGTTTGATCCCCCCAACTAGCTCAGCCAAGTTTGGTTCTGTGTGAGACCGTTGGAGTTGTCGGTAATCAACTTTTTGCCCAAATTTATAGAGATAGTTGGGGGTTGCAGTTTGTAGCTTAGTGATTAAGTTAGACATATAATCCCTCCTCTTTCACCGTTAGAGTCAACGTAATAATCAATTTGTCCAAAAAGAAGTCCTAAGTTGGTTTGAAGTTTCCAATGTTAACCACAAGGGCTGTGGCATAGTGGTTGAGGCCCAGGGGATGTGATGGAATATCCCATCTGCCCAGGGTTTGATTCCAGGTGTTCACAACAATTGTGGCCATTGAGCTTATCAGGAAAGATGTCTTACAATGGCAATTTGTTGGGATTATTCTGGACATAGTCTAGGATACCCTTCCAAAAGAAATGCCCAATGTTGTAAGGTTTGATGATCACTGTTACATATAACTTCAATGTATGCAAAATTTTGGAGAAAGTGGATTTCAGTTAAAGAAAATGAGCCACGATTTGACATTTGAATGTTCAAAGGGATGATACTTGAACTTTGAAAACTACTTGAATACTAACTTTAATGAGCAATTGTTGATTGGAAAAACAAAGGTTTGCAGTAAGTAGCATGGATGGCATCTTGTTTGTTATACTTTTGTAGTAAAATCCATACTAATTTCACATTTGAACTTTTACAGCATTGACCTCAAAAGTCAAATGTGTATCTCGTCTTGTTTTTTTTTCCTATGATGGGAAAACTTAATTACTTTGTGTAAATATAGGGATTCGAGCTCATACCTTCAGAGAATTTCACCTCGTTGTCGGTGATGCAAGCCGTTGGATCAGTGATGACGAATAAATATAGTGAAGGTTATCCTGGGGCTAGATACTATGGAGGAAACGAGTACGAAAAGTCCACTTCGAGTTATTATTTTCCTGTAATTTAGTGGCGTTTAAACCAATTTCTGTTACATTTTCTTCTTCTGAAGGTACATTGATATGGCCGAGAGATTGTGTCAAAAGCGTGCGTTGGAAGCTTTTAATTTGGATCCTTTGAAGTGGGGAGGTACTACATCAAATCCCAAGTAATTGACATTTTAAACCATCGAATTTGGATTTTCATTGCAAATAAACCATCTTTCTTACAAAAACTCAAAAGAGCACTGAGTTGTAAGAATGAAAGATTTTGGACATAAACTGCGTAATAAGACCGATCCTTTAGCATATACATTTCCTTAATTTGCTAAATTTACTCATTCTTGCAAACTACATATTTCTTTAGTTCTTTGCAAGGCCGATGGTTAATTTGCAAAAGGCTACGACGGTTCAAAAAGTTGAACTATTAAATTTCTCATCAAGTATAATCATTCTAAATATCTTCTTGCAACACCAATAATCCTTGTAAAGCTAACTTAAGCATGCTAAGTTCTAGAACATACACACCCATATATGTATATATATATATATATATATATATATATATATAAATAGATATAGATATAGAGGGAGGATCAAACTAGAACAGGGTCAAAATAAAAGAACAAGAAACGGCCAAATCATGTGTGATTTTACATGCGATTAAAGAACATGGTCAACACAAGGTTGAGCGGACGACCTTGCCCACAACCTCAACCTCATATCGTGGCCAAAGTCACGTGAATCACGTGATTGTACATGTGATGTTAATGTAAAATCACATGTGATTTGAATGTTTTTGTGTTCTCTTATTTAGTTATTGGTCTAGTATGAACCTGACACACACTCTCTCTCTCTATATATATATATATATAGAGAGAGAGAGAAAGAGAGAGAGGGGTCAGGTTCAGGGGGAAAACCACAAAAAATTGTATACTAAAGAACACTCTAATAACATTCATCTGTATGGTATGTACATTACGCATAAAAGTAATTTGTCAAGATATGAACATTTGCATAAAATGCACGCGTGCATAAAAACCATGCAACATTTTCAATTACTTTTATGCACATGTGCATGACGTACCAATGAATGGTTGTTAAGGTGTTCCTCAGTTTTTTTTTTGTGGTTTTCCCCCGAGACTGAGTCTTTATATTTATGAAAGTGAGCTGACATATATAGAGGGAGGTTCAAACACTATCAGTAACCAAATAAGAGAACACGTAAATGGCCAAATCACATGCAAAAACACATGTGATTTTACACCAACGGTCAAAGCAAGGGTGTGTGGGCAATGTGGCCCACGATCTCAAGGTCGCTGCCAATGTTGTGTTAATCACATGCGATTTTACACATGATTTTAGTATAAAATTACATGTGATTAACCGTTCCTGTTCTTTTATTTGATTATTGTTCTTGTATGAACCTGACACACACACACACACTCTCTCTCTCTCTCTCTCTCTCTCTATATATATATATATATATATATTTCTTTTTCTTTGTCCCCAAATTCGTACTTCTATATGCCTAAATATAGATTCCAAATGATGCCATCTCTCTTGCAGTCAATGTTCAGTCACTGTCTGGATCGCCTGCTAACTTTCAAGTTTATACCGCGCTATTGAAACCTCATGAGAGAATCATGGCGCTCGATCTTCCTCATGGTGGACATCTTTCACATGGTTATCAGGTTATAAAATGAGCTCCTTTCGTCATATTGTTTGAGCAATTTCTTAACAGTATGTCATTTGATATGTTTTTCTTCTTTTTCATGATGTAGACTGACACAAAGAAGATTTCGGCTGTCTCGATATTTTTTGAGACAATGCCATACAGATTGGATGAAAGCACAGGTTATATTGACTATGACCAAGTAAGCTATAAGAGTTGGCATGATTTCTCGTGTTCCTTTCAAGATCTTTTTCTTTTTTTTCTTATGAAATGGTTGATTGAATGCTGCAGATGGAGAAAAGTGCCGTTCTCTTTAGGCCAAAATTAATTGTAGCTGGTGCAAGTGCCTATGCTCGAGTATATGATTATGCCCGTATGCGCAAGGTGAATTTTTAATGAAATAGGACTAATCTAGCCTCAAAAGACAGCCCCTCAATGTCCCAAAAACATCAAATGGTCCCTCTAGTACTTAATCCCTCAAGCGATTATGAGCAAACATGTTCAGTGGTTCATTTTGATGTGGCCATGTGGGAGTTGATAGACTCAAAATTCTAATATCACAGTCACATAGAAGGATCATTTTAGGAATTTAACCATTGCCGACATGGTTTTCTACATCTATAAAATGTTAAAAAATGGAGGGGTTTCTCTTTCTCATTTCTTTTTTGTGTTCATAAGTCGATATATCTCAAATCTCTCTCTTCATTTCACAGGTTTGCGACAAACAAAAAGCCGTTCTGTTAGCGGACATGGCACACATCAGCGGGTTGGTTGCTGCTGGTGTCATTCCATCGCCTTTTGAATACGCAGATGTTGTGACAACCACGACCCACAAGTCACTACGCGGGCCACGTGGAGCTATGATCTTTTTCAGGAAGGGTTTAAAAGAGATTAACAAAAAAGGCGAAGAAGTGAGTTATGCTTGAATGGTGATGATAAATTTATCCTTTTTTTCATATTATTTAGCTTTTAAATCTGAGTCAACGTGTAGGTGATGTATGACTTTGAAGAAAAAATCAATCAAGCTGTGTTCCCGGGGCTTCAAGGGGGTCCACACAATCATACCATTACGGGTTTAGCCGTTGCATTAAAACAGGTTTATTGTTTTTTTCAGTATCATCACTTGGCTCCACGCGGTGTAACCTGATTGAATTTACTTTTGACTATTTGTTGTATTATTTGTAGGCAACGACTCCAGAGTACAAGGCATATCAAGAACAAGTTCTTGCTAATTGCAAGAAATTTTCGCAGGTTTTACTAAATCCATTAATGTCTTTCTTTCCCATTTGTGCGTGTGTGTGACGTGGTCTCCTCTTACTACCTTGATCATAGCCTTTTGTTTTCTTGTAAATTTTCTTGATTGAAATGCAGATTCATTGGTCTAATTTGGTTTGATTGGATTTAGCGTTCATTTGATTTCATTACATTTTCTTCATCCATCCTCTATTATTCATTTTGTAGATCTCGTCTTTGATTCTTCTCTTGTAAAATAAATAGGACACATAATTACATCTTTCTTCTACTCGCTATACAAATGAGACTCACAAAAATCAAAATGTTACACAAGCACATGTAAACATATTATGTGAGTAGAACAAAGATGTTGATGGAGAATAGAGGAAGAATTGAAGATGGTGTACGAGAAGCAAACCAAGCCTAAGGGGTTGTTTGGTTGTTTTTCCATCGATCCCTGTATGGATTAAGTTGTGTGTATGGATTAAGCTAAACTGTTGTTTCTTTGTTGTGCTAAATAAACGGTCTGAATGACAAAAATGACTTTTTTGCCCTCGTATATGTGTCTTTTATATGATGTGAGACAAAATTAAGATGCGATTGATTGTTTTTTCATCAAGACCTGTATGAGTTAAGTTGTGTGTATGAATTAGGGTAAATTGTTTGTTTGGTGTGCTAAATGAACACTCTGAATGATTGAAATGACTATTTTACCCCTCGCAGATATCGCTTTTATATATGATATGAGAAGAAATGAAGATGTAATTGTGTGTTCATGAGTCCAATTTACTCGATGTGAAATAGAAATGAAGACTGGAACCACAAAATAAAGAATAATATTGAAAAGAAAAAATGGTATAAACATACTAAATCCTACATCCTCATGTTTGCTGATCTTGCAGAGTTTGATAGAGAGGGGATATGATCTTGTATCCGGTGGAACGGACAACCATTTGGTCTTGGTAAATTTAAGAAACAAGGTACCTTCATGTTAAAGTTGAAACTACCCTCTGCTCTATATAAAAGTTGCATCGGACAGGTTCATTTGAGAACCGTCAGAACCAACTATTCATTGATTATTCATGATGAATATCATAATTGATATTCATTGTGAATAATGATAATGCATGATATTCATTGTGAATAATGAAATTGCATGATATTCAGGTATATTCATCACGAATAGTTGGTTCCCAAGTGAACTTTCTTCCTATTACATATTTGCCCATATTATTCATCATTTTGGATGGTAATTTAGAAATTGCTGTGAATACAGGGTATTGATGGGTCGAGAGTCGAAAAGGTTATGGAGTTGGTGCATATTGCTGCTAACAAAAACACTGTTCCTGGTGACGTGTCCGCCATGGTACCTGGTGGCATTCGTATGGGTAAATCTCATCATCTTTTCATCTTGCATTCATGAACTAGGTTCGATTATGATCACGAAAGAAGTAAAATAACTATACATATTTCTGAACTTCGATCTTTTTATCTTTGAATTCAAAGAAATCTTTCTGTTTTTATTGGTTCAGGAACTCCTGCTCTAACATCTAGGGGATTTCTTGAAGATGATTTTGTCAAAGTTGCTGAGTTATTTGATGCTTCTGTCAAGTTGGCCTTGAAAATTAAAGCTGCTTCCACAGGTTAGATTTTACATTTTTTTCATACCAAAAGACGATAGTTTTGACTTTGAAATTGAAAAAGGTCGGAATTTTATCAAGAAAATTTGAAACCACAAGGATGGTAGCTCGTGGTGGATAAAAATGACGGGATGATAAAATCAACCCGGGTTCGAATCCTACCATATACATATGCGCTTGTAGCCAGTGGGCTGTAGGTGAAGCCTACAGTCGCGACTTGCCATGGAATCACCCATTTAGAAGAAAAAAATGATAGGAAAACGATATTGATTCCATATGCTACCTACGTAAGATGATGTCGGTGTTGACTGTTAGCTTCGAAACGAATCTTGTAGGTTTGACCTCAAAAGTAAACTAAAATGAACATCTGTATGCTGATGAATCACTTTGTTCCCTATATAAATAGGACAAATTGCATGAAAATACAACGTACTTGGTTTTGAATCTTGTTCTGTGTAACATACTTCTGGAACCTTCAATGAGTGTACTATCACAAACATTTAGACCAAAGTACGTTACACAAAATAGGAATCGAGCCAGAGTACGTTGTATTTTCATGCCTTTGCAGATGTAAATTACGTCTGAGGCACAAAAAATTAAGGTTTAAAAGTACATTACATAAAATAGGAACAAAATTGTACGTTGCAACCACAAGGGTGGTGCCTGATTGGTTTGAGTTTGGCTCCAAAGGTCAAAAGTATTAGGAGGTCACAGGTTCAAATCCAAGGAGGAATAAAAATCCCCTTGTGGCCACGGAGGTTCAAATGTGGTGACTCCGAGCTATCTGCAAAGCAGGTGTTCGTTCTGGGATTAGTCGGCTCGCATAGCGAGTTGGATATCCAGGTTAATCAAAAAAAATTGTACGTTGCACTTTTATGCAATTTACCTGTAGAAAAGTGAAATGCTTCAACTTTGAGGTGAAAAAACCTAGTTTTCAACATCAAATTTCTAACGAATTCTTGAAACTATGGAGAAATTTTGACAATTTTCTGAACTATATGCTAATGAAAGCTCGTTATGTTGTGAACGAAATTGATATCAGGAACCAAGTTGAAGGACTTCGTTGCAACCATGAACACAAACAAATTTGAATCTGAATTTGTAAAGATTCGTGGGGAGGTCGAAGAGTATGCTAAGCAATTTCCAACAATCGGGTTTGAGAAGGAAACAATGAAGTACAAAGATTGATAAAACATGATCACTTCATACAGAAATGCCGAAGTCAAAGCATAGTCAAACCTCGATTCGTGTCTCCGCATCTTTATAGTTTGCGAAGGTTCGTAGTCTAAAAGTTGCGTGTTGGATCTCGGGAGGCTTGTTTCGAAGATTCGGTCGACATCGAGAGTTGACAACATTTGTTGTTCCACTTGTTATTGTTGATCATAGGTTTGTATAAGATGGATGGTGGTTCTGTTTCTTTGATAAGCATTATTATTGGTTTCTTGTTGAATTTTTTTTCTTTCAAGCAATATAAATGATTATCAAGAGCATGTTTGGTTGGTTTTCTAATATAATATATCATGTATTGATAAAGCTGTCTGTGTGGATTAATCCGTTTGTATAGTTAAATAAGTCATTTTTTATATTATTAAGCCACTTCCAGACAATCATGTATAATTGACTGAATAAGCTATGAGTCTTATTAAACTCATCAAACTGCAAACAAATAGACCTTTAATATTATAAAAATAATATTATTGATTTATACAAAATAAATGTACACGTTTCCATAACAATATGATATTATATGGCTTAAACAATCAACATACCATTAATACGAATGTGGGTTATAATTTATTTGAATATGGTTATATTAAAGCCTCTAATGGCACGAGGTGGTGGTGAGGTTAAGTTTCAGGAGTCGTGTTGTTTTTTAAGACATGATTTATGACGGTAAAGTTGTATGTTTTATATATATATATATATATATATATATATATATATATATATATATATAAAAGGGTTCATTCAAAGAAGAAATGACTAGTTTGTGGTAACCGTGAGATTCAATCTCAACCATAAATCAATTGATAAATTAGAAAATTTATAATTTTGGTAATTTTGAATTAAAATTTTAATGAAATGATATTTTAGGTATTTTCTCTTCTCTCTCCGTCCTCCGGTGATACCACTGTGATACCTAAAAATATTGACTCTGTTAGACAAAAGACACAGTGTGATACCCAATCATATATAAGATGCATTGTGATACCACTGTGTTACATCTCCGATTGACCACACAAACAACCTCGGTGTGATACCCAAGCACATATATGATGCATTGTGATACCATTGTGGTATCACCGGAGGACGGGGGACAGAGAGAGGAGAGATGAGAGTTTTAAAATACAAAAAATGTTCTTGTTTTAAAATTTTAATTCAAAATTAACAAAATTATAAATTTTCTAATTTATCTATTGATTTGTGGTTGAGATTGGACCTTACGGTTACCACAAACTAATTAGTTTTCATTTGATTAGGCCCCTATATATATATATATATAATTATATATTTTCTACGATATTCTCTTCCTATGTGGCTTGATCATGTTCACAATTTGTTCATATATGTTCATGTCAACTTACCGAGTCGTTGGTAAAAAATTTGCTCCCAAATCTTTATATTTGTGTAAGTGTTTGACCTGGTGTTCATATATGTCAAATGTGTAAGTGATTGCACCCGATGTTCATAGTATGAGGGTTATGTGTTCATATACTTTCTACGATATTTTATTCCTATGTGGCTTGATCATGTTCACAATTGTATATTGACGTATATGTGCATGTGTGTTCACATGTTACGAATATACGTATATGTGAACATGTGAATATGTAGTTGTAATGTTTTTGAATTTGTGATTGGTAGAGGAGATTCGGTAGCAAAGTTTTCGGTATCTTTTAAGCTATTATAGATAAACTCATTGTTCATAATGAAGGAACTATTGTTCACAAGTGTTCATATGTACACTAGCTGCATATCTCAACATTGATTTGCTCCTGAATGTGTTCATAATGAAGAAATTATTGTTCACAAGTGTTCATATTGTGTTCATATGTACACTAGCTGCATATCTCCACATTAGCTCGCTCCTGAATGTGTTCATAATAAATGAACTATTGTTCACAAGCTGTTCATATTGTGTTCATACATGTTTTTCTATTTATTTCCTTTCGTGTAACCGCTATTCTTATTATGTTCATATTGTGTTCATAAATACTATGCAGTCCAAGTTCATATATATGTCAATTTTTGTTCGTATTTGACACAATGAATATATATATATATATATATGTGTGTGTGTGTGTGTGTGTGTGTGTGTGTGCGCGCATGTGTGCATGTGTGTGTGCGTGTTCATATGGTTCTTACATTAACAAAAATAATGAGATTTTTTGATTTTGTAACTCCCGATTAATGATATGGGAGTTATATAAAAAAGAAAATTACCTAAATATCATTTTCCCCTTTGTTCACATATGTTTTTTGAAATTGTAAATTTTATAAAAATTATTTTTTTTATCATGATTAATCACAACCGTTTATTGTAAGAATCAATGGTCAAAATTGGTTAACAAAGTTAACACAATAATCTTGATTAACATTTGAACCAGCCTATATATATATATATATATATTAAAATTTCACTAATTAAATTTTTTTAACTTTTTTATATTATTTAAATACTATTTTTAATGATTCTATTAACAACTACCATATATTTATATAGAAAATTTTCAGATAATTAACTAAAATACTCGTGCTATAGTGTTGTGCATGCTGGTAACAATAATATAAATTACGGGCAAAATGCACAAAATAACAATCTACTTTCATAAATTTTTTTATTATAACATTATATTTTTATTTTTTCTTATTACGGCAATCTACTTTCAAACTATTTTTTTATTAAAAAAATTTACTATTATAACATTGGATAAGCTTTTCATCCTATAAATTACTATCCTCTTCCATCCCTCCCATGTTTTCTTAAATCAATTTTCATCCAAACACACATAGATGAAGATAACGTGATATGCCAACACACAATTCATCAACATTTCTGAGTTAAAAAGGAATCCAGAAAGAAAAGAAAAACCATGAGAATTCCTCCATAGATAAGTCGAATCTTTAGCTTTCATGGCATCTCTGCCTTCAGTTGTAATCGGCTACACGATCAAGCCCGAATCAGAGTTCAAGAGACGTACCGCTACATTCCCTTCAATTGAAAAGGTAAAGCTTTTTTATGATTCACTTGTTACAACTGAGATTGATTTGTATCAACAACAGTAGGTTAATTGGGTAGCAGAATGATGAAATTGCAATGTTTGATTGCATCAAATTATAGCTGCTAAGTTCTATTTTTTCTTGTTAGCAGAGAAATTCTAGCTCAAGTTATTTGGAGAAAGGTTTTGACGCGTTAAGTTTGGACTTGAGAGAAGTTGAATCTTCAACTTACGTGCCACTTTTACAAAAATGCGTCGAAAAGAATTCATTTCAAGAAGCACAGATCATTCATGGTCACATTATAAAATCTGGGACACAAGAAGATTTGTTTGTGATGACATCTCTGGTGAACGTTTATGGAAAGTGTGGTGTTATGGAAGCTGCACGCAAGGTGTTTGATACATTGTCTAAAAGAAATGTTGTGACCTGGACTTCGCTAATGTCCGGCTATGTTCATAACTCACAACCTGAAGCAGCCATCCATGTGTTCTTAGAAATGTTGGAAAACGGTTCGTATCCCACAAATTATACCCTTGGTATCATTTTAAACACTTGTTCTCTGTTGTATGATGTTAAGTTAGGGAAAGTGGTTCATGGGTATGTTATAAAATATGGACTCGAGGGTGACACGAGTGTTGGGAATGCACTTTGTAACTTGTACTCAAAATGTGGCGGCAACTTGGATTCTGCAATGAGAGCATTTTGGAGGATAGGGGAAAGGAATGTGATCTCGTGGACGACTATCGTCTCTGCTTGTGGAGACAATGGGAATTCTGCAGCCGGTTTGGATTTGTTTTCTGCAATGCTTGAGGAGGGAATTGAGCCAAACGAGTTCATTTTGACAAGTGTTTTGAGTTTGTGTTGCACGATTCAAGCTACAGATCTGGGTTTGCAGATCCATTCGTTGGGCATCAAAATTGGGTACGAATCTAACTTGCCTGTTACGAATTCTCTCATGTATTTGTACTTAAAAAGTGGATGGTTTAGTGAAGCAAAGAAGTTGTTTGATGGATTGGAAAAGGTAAGTTTAGTGACATGGAATGCAATGATTTCAGGCTATGCCCAGATGATGGATGTTGCTGAAAATAGCCTTGTGGCATCCAGAAATGGATCTGAGGCACTTAACATCTTCTTGAGATTACAAAGATCAGGTTTGAAGCCTGATCTTTTCACCATTTCTAGTGTTTTAACAGTTTGTAGCAATCTTCTGGCTCTAGAACAAGGAGAACAAATTCATGCTCAGACCATAAAAACTGGTTTTTTATCAGAAGTTGTCGTTGGAACAGCTCTAGTCAACATGTACAACAAATGTGGAAGCATCAAGAAGGCAAGCAAAGCTTTTGTTGAAATGCCTTCGAGAACTTTGATTTCTTGGACTTCCATGATAACAGCCTTTGCTCAACACGGGCTTTCTCAAAATGCGTTGGTTCTTTTTGATGACATGAGATTAGCAGGTGATCGGCCAAATAAGGTAACGTTTGTTGGCGTTCTTGCAGCCTGTAGTCATGCTGGAATGGTGGATGAGGCTTTAACCTATTTCGATATGATGAAAAACGACTTCAAAATTAATCCCATTATGGACCATTATGGATGCATAATTGATATGTTTGTGAGATTAGGTAGATTAGAAGAAGCTTTCGACTTCATCAAGAAGATGGAATTCGAACCAAATGAGTTTATTTGGTCTCTACTAGTTGCAGGCTGCAGAAGTCATGGGAATCTAGAGTTGGGTTTTTATGCTGCTGAACAATTACTCAATCTCAAACCTAAAGACCCTGAGATATATGCCATGCTTTTGAACATGTACATCTCAGCAGAAAGATGGAAGGATGCATCAAGATTGAGGAAAGCCATGAAAGATGAAAAACTCATGAAGTTGAAAGATTGGAGCTGGATTAGTATTAAAGACAAGGTATATTCCTTCAAACCAGATGATAAATCATGCACCCATCATCAACAAGTTGATATTCTACTAAGGGATTTGCTAGAAAAATCAAGAAATCTTGAAAAAAACTCTGAAACTGAAGAAATGGAGGATAAAGAAACAAGGGTTCATCACAGTGAAAAGTTTGCTGTGGTGTTTGGTTTGTTGAAGATACAAAAACCAGCAGCGATTCGTGTTGTGAAGAGTATGATTATGTGCAGGGACTGTCATAATTTTGTTAAGTTTGTTTCGGTGTTAAGTGAGAGGGAAATCATGGTAAGAGACAGTAAACGACTCCATAGATTTGTTGACGGCAAGTGTTCGTGTGGGGATTTTGGTAGTCTTTTGTGATTCATTCTCAGAGTTCGACTTTTGGGAAGCCCAAAAGAGTCGTTTCGCACGAAGGTCGATTGGCTTGTGTTTGTCGTTTTCGACTTATACTTTGAATCGTTATAAGATGAAGGATGGGTGTGTGAAATACACAATACACAAGGGTTAGAATTTGCATGCTTGTTTAGTTCAACTTTATGACTACATTTATGAAGTTTGGTTGAGTTAGAAAAAAAGATGCTCTCTTTTTTTCAACTAAAGTAAATTACGGTTTTGGTCCTCGTGTTATTTTTAAAACAACAGTTTTCGTTCCCAACTTTGTTTATTGTTAAAAAGAACCTTCGTGGTTAGGTTATGTTAGTTGTTGGTCGATAAATTAGTCACATTTGATAAAAACTAGCTGATAAACTTGATGACAATGTAAAATAATCTAAAAATACATGTTGAAAAATTAAATGGAAAATATTAGGGTATACTTGAAAAAATTCATATATCTTATAGAAACGATAGTTTTTCAAAAGTTAGCTTATAACCCACTCTCTTTATCCCCCAAAAGACGTATCTGGTTTTGTGAAGTGACGAAAGAGGGGGTGGAGTCCATAGTGGAAGCTATGATATTTCATTAGGGAGTTTGGATCTTGGCTCGTTTTAGTGATTGCCAGCCATTGACGGTGTGTTAATTGTCGTGGGTTGGTCCTTTCCACTAATACTCATGTATTTAGTGTGTGATGATTTTCGTCGCGAACAACCTGCAACACCCAAGATCCACATTTACATATAATCAAGTATTTCATATAATGAAAAATACAATATTACACATTCGGTCCCAAAAGTACAAGAGGCTACATTACAAAAATAACTAACAAATTTTTCCATAACATTCTTGTACATAATTTGTATATGTGACAAGTATTCCAAAATCAATAGATAACTGAATCTTCTCCATATTCCATGTAAACACATAGGAAATCTCACATTTTCCCCTTTCTCTTATCCCTTGATAGTGCTCGACTTGTAATACACATTTTTGAAACACAAAATGAGAGTTAGATCTTGAGGTCTAATGAAAATTTTCCTTTTTGCAATTACAGAGTGAAAATCATCAAAACATGATATAAACTCATATTTGTAATTAAAACAAATATATACCACATTTTAACAAAATGTAACTCAAGTATTGCATTCAAATAGGAATTTATAGAACTTTCTCGCATCACACTAGGGTGAGATCCTCAACTCCTCGCATCAGACCACCAAAGCCCCTCTGGTTCGTTAAGGACCAGAGCTCCTCTAGTCTACCAACCAGAGCAAAGCCAAACTTAAACAAGGCCACTAAAGGCTAATCAGAAGCAAGAATTTATAAAAAGGCTAGTCCAACCAAAACATATGACCAACCAAAGGCCCTTCGGATGTCCAGACAGAGGGCCTCTGGATGTCCAGAGCGCCTCTGGTTCATTAATTAGAAGTTCTAGACAAAGCCTCTTAGAAGCATAGCTAACTCGAAGCAAAATTCAACACAAGTCATGGCCAACCAAAGGCCCTCTGAACGACCAGAGCCTCTGGTTCATTTAACCAGAGCTTCTGAAAACTAAAAATGAAATACTTTGAAAGAAAATGGAATTTAAATGCAACCAGAGGCCTTCTGATTAATCATGAAGATCAACCAGCGGCGACCAGAGCCCTTCTGGTTTATTAGAATTGTATTTAGGTTGTACTGTTTGGTCATAGTCTGTGAGTTATTTAGGTGCGGTCTATGGTTGTTTCGGTGTTCCCGAGTGTACAATANTTTAGGTGCGGTCTATGGTTGTTTCGGTGTTCCCGAGTGTACAATATCTTTTAGCCTGTTGTATAAATACTTGTTTACATTGAGTAAATAATATGTAAAAACACTCTCTCTCAGATCTCAGATTTACAAAATGGTATCAGAGCGTCTTCTGCACGCATCGTTTTTTTTCTTCTTCTTCGATCGAATTGATTCTTCTCGTCTACTGTATTGATTTGATTGTTGATCGATCAATTTTTTTCTGTTCCTCTGTTCTTTGATTCTTAAATTGATCTGTGGAAGGTCAATTTTCTTTTTCGATTGTTTTTAGGTTTTGTTCATATTGATTTTTCAGATCCAGATCTGAACCAGAACGATTCAATGGGTGAATCTACAATGCGTTCCACTACTACTGTCGAGATTGATGATCCGTATTTTTTGCATCACTCAGATAGCCCTGGTCTTGTGTTGGTTTCGCAAATTCTTATAGGTGAAAATTATGCCTCTTGGAGCAGAACAATGGAGATAGCCCTATCTGTAAAGAACAAAATTGGTTTCATAGACGGAACTCTTTCCAAACCGAATGTTTTTGATCAACTGAAAGTGAAGTCATGGATCAGGAATAACAACATCGTTATTTCTTGGATTATAAATTCGGTATCCAAAGACATATCGGCTAGCATTATTTACTCTGATTCGGCTTACGAAATATGGAAGGAACTTAAAGAAAGATTTCAACAGAGTAATGGGCCACGTATTTTTCAAATCAAACGTGATCTGATGAATCTGACACAAGGTCAAGATGCTGTGAGTGTCTATTTCACAAAATTGAAGGTACTATGGGAAGAGTTATCGAATTACAATGTTCATTGTTCTTGTGGGAAGTGCACATGTGGTGGAGCAAAAGAAATAGAACACACCATGAACTTTTTGATGGGTCTAAATGATTCTTATTCACAGATTCGAGGGCAAATACTTTTGATGGATCCAATTYCGCCTGTAAATCGTATTTTTTCTCTYGTTATACAAGAAGAGAGGCAAAGAGTTGTAGGTGTAAACCAACTCCAAAATCAGTCTATGGCTCTCAACGTTCGGAGTGCAAATTTTAACAAGTCTCGTGTATCTAGTAATCAAACTTACAGAGGTTTCAAGAAGGATCAACCACCTTTCTGTACTCATTGCAAACGAACAGGCCACACTCAAGACAAATGTTACAAGCTCCATGGTTTCCCCCCTGGTTATAAAGTGAATCAGAATTCTAGTGTTAATTCTGTGATTGATAACCATTCTGCTGCTAATTGTGTCATATCTGGACAACAGCCAAAACCTGATGTTGAATGACCCGTTAATGACAGTGTACCTGGAGTCAAAGGTGTCGTGGATGGTCTCACAAGTTTTCAGTGCCAACAGTTGATGGCAGCACTTTCTGGTAGACTTGCTTCCGTTAATATTGCTGCAGTAGAAAAATATTCAGGTATATGTCATGTTTTGACATTTAATTCGAAATTATATAAATCRAATGTTTGGGTACTGGACTMTGGAGCAACYCAACATATTTGTCATGATGAAAGTTTGTTTCTGAGCACTAAAACTGTTAACAATCTCAAAGTAGTGTTGCCTAATSAAGAGGTTATTAAAGTGCACARGAAAGGGRACGTTAAACTCACTGATGAGTTAYTTCTCAAAGATGTTTTGCTAGTGCCTCAATTTCATTTCAATTTGATTTCCATTAATGCTCTAACAATGGATCGAACAGCTATGGTTCTTTTTTATCATAATCTTGCTATCATACAGCTGATGAARAAMGRGATGATGATTGGCAAGGGTAGCAAACAAGGAGGTCTCTACATATTGGAACAGGCAGCTCCAGTGAAGGTGAATGTTGTTTCCGTACAAACATGGCACCGACGGTTTGGGCATCCGTCAAACAAGAAGCTTACGATGATAGATAAGGARATTTTTGTTGGAAAAGATATAAACAAGCATGTTTGTTCCATTTGTYCTTTGGCAAAACAAAAACGTTTACCTTTTGTTTCATTGAATAAAATCTCGAATAAACCGTTTGATATTCTTCACTGTGATATTTGGGGGCCATATCATATTGATTCATATCAGGGGCATAGATTTTTTGTGACTCTTGTTGATGATTRCACTAGATACACATGGGTTTACTTGATCAAACACAAGTCTGAAGCTCAAATTATCATTCCTAGATTCTTTGATATGGTTCTTACGCAGTTTGAAGCAAAGGTAAGAATTTTTAGATCAGAYAATGCAAAAGAATTGGCATTCACTGAGTTKTTCCATAGCCGAGGTGTGTTGCATCAATATTCATGTGTAGAGAGGCCACAACAAAACTCGGTTGTTGAACGGAAACATCAACATTTGTTAAATGTTGCCAGAGCCCTGYTTTTCCAGTCAAAGATCCCTTCTAAATATTGGTCGGAATGTGTCATGGCAGCAACYTTTTTGATAAATAGGACACCATCTCGAGCCATTGGTAATGTTTYTCCTTATCAGAAGCTTTACAATGAATGTCCAGATCATTCTCAACTCAAAACATTWGGATGCTTAGCATTTGCATCTACTCTCCATGCTAATAGAACGAAATTTCAGCCCCGAGCAAGAAGTTGTGTATTCCTAGGATATCCTAATGGAATGAAAGCATATAAGCTTCTAGATATGGAAACAAGACAGGTTTTCATATCAAGGGATGTGGTTTTCCATGAGGAGATATTTCCTTTTCATAATTCACATTCTCAAGTTCACGATAACCCCTTTCCGATGCATGTAGTTCCTATTGCTGAAGATTCTCCCTCTGCTTCTGATTATGTGGATGGTGTGACAAATCAGAATGATAACTCAAATCCATAATCCTCTCCTCAACCTCCTATTTTCGATTCTGTGCCAACGGGTGATAATGGTCACCATAGACCCACAAGAGTTCGCAATCCTCCTTCCTACTTAAGAGATTACCATTGTAGTTTGGTGCATGATGAAGTCTGTCATTCCTCTAATTGCCAATACCCAATTTCAGATGTGTTATCCTATCAGAAGTTATCTGCAAAACACAAAGCCTATGTGTTTGTTTTGTCTACTCAAAATGAGCCCAAAAATTATGCTGAAGCATCATGTTCAAAGGAATGGCAGCAGGCTATGAGTGAAGAATTACAKGCTTTGGAATTGAATAAAACATGGAGTATTGTTCCTCTTCCAGCAAATAGAAAGGCTCTTGGATGTAAGTGGGTTTACAAGATTAAAAGAAATGCCGATGGTTTGATTGAACGGTATAAAGCACGGTTGGTAGCCAAGGGYTTTAATCAACGGGAAGGCGTTGATTTTCTCGATACCTATTCACCCGTGGCTAAATTGGTTACTGTTAAATTGATGCTTACATTGGCAGCACAAAATTCATGGCCTTTGATACAATTGGACGTGAACAATGCTTTTTTAAATGGAGATCTTGATGAAGAGGTATATATGCAATTACCAAAAGGGTATACGTTTAAGGGGGCGAGTTCTTCCGATTCTCCATTGGTATGCAAGCTACATAAATCTTTATATGGGCTACGACAAGCATCAAGACAATGGTATGCAAAGTTTTCTAACTTTCTTGTTTCAGAAGGCTTCACTCAATCTAAAGCCGATTATTCATTGTTTTATCGAGGAGTTGGATCTACATATGTTGCGTTACTTGTTTATGTGGATGATATAGTGCTTACGGGGGCCTCTTTAGATGAGATCAATGTTGTCAAAACACGGCTTAGTGCTCAATTTAAACTTAAAGATTTGGGATCGTTAAAACATTTTTTGGGTCTTGAAGTTGCTAGATCCAGTGATGGCATTTCTCTCTCTCTCAACGTCAGTATACTCTTGAACTTCTTCAAGATTTCGGTCTTTTGGCAGCCAAGCCTGCCCAATATCCCATGGATCCCAAGTGCAAGTTATCAGTTTTTGAAGGTGAACTTCTACAAGACCCAGCCCGGTATAGGAGGTTACTTGGACGTCTCATGTATCTTACTATCACAAGGCCGGACATTGCTTATGCAGTTCATCGGTTGAGCCAATATGTCACTAGTCCTCGYGTTCCTCATATGCAAGCTGCTACTCATTTGTTAAGATACTTGAAACTAAATCCAGGACAAGGTCTTTTTCTATYTGCTAAGCAATYCTTACATCTTAAAGCTTTCAGTGAAACTTCTTGGGCCAAGCTRAAGRCTTTYAGTGATTCCGATTGGGCRGGCTGTCCCGATACACGRAGATCAATCACTGGGTTTTGTGTGTTTCTTGGGGATTCCTTGATCTCCTGGAAATCAAAGAAGCAATCTATTGTGTCCAGGTCCTCCACCGAAGCAGAATACCGGGCCATTGCTGCTGTCACCAGTGAAGTTGTTTGGTTACAGCGTCTTTTGCGTGATTTTGGTGTTCCTACGTATGAGCCTACCTTGGTATTTTGTGATAATACATCTGCTATTCAGCTGGCTTCCAACCCAACTTTTCATGAGCGTACGAAACACATCGAGATTGATTGCCATTTTGTTCGTGACAAAGTCATTGATCATACTATTAAGTTGATGTCGATTCGAAGTAGTTCTCAGCTTGCCGATATTTTCACTAAGTCGTTGCCTCGTTCCAAACTGTAACCAATTCTTTCCAAGATGGCTCTTAAAAACATTTTCACGAGTCCATCTTGAGGGGGCGTATTAGAATTGTATTTAGGTTGTACTGTTTGGTCATAGTCTGTGAGTTATTTAGGTGCGGTCTATGGTTGTTTCGGTGTTCCCGAGTGTACAATA